AAAAGGATAAAATAAAATGAAGAAGGCTACTGCTATCGTCCAGTAAAATCTATAGGCTTTTTGGTCTATAGACAGTGTACCAGAAATACCAAGTTGCTTACAAATACCAGCTTTCTTCTTTTTTTTTTTTTTTTTGCACGAGTTTAATGCATGCTCATTGACAAGGCACTGTCAGCTTGTTTCTGATTAATTACTTTCTTAGACTTAATTTGTTAAAAATTAAGTCATGCATTAAATTCAGTAAAATTTTAAAAGTCCAAAATAAAATAATGAGCAACAGCACCAGCAGCAGCACCACCACCACCACCACCAACAATAACAAAAGCAATAGAAGCCAAAGATGAGGAAGAAGAAGCAGCAGTAGCAGCAAGTATATTTGCAAATATAAGACTGGCAGAAGAACTAAACATTCGCATAGAAATACCAGTCGTCACACACTCATTGAAAATTTCAAGTTATTTTTTTCCTTTTTTCTGCTCCCACTTTCTTCCCATTTTTTTTGTCCTCTTCGTCTTCTTTCTTTGGTGAGACAAATGATGCAGAAATTACTAAGTATATACGTATTTGAATTTCCGTACGCAAGCGCTTTGTCCATGCAACAGTTGCTCCCTCCCCATTATTCTGTTCCCTTCCTCCTCCTCTTCTTCTTCTCCCCTCCCCCCTCCTCCTCCCCCCCGACTCTTTCCTTTGCAGCCTTAGCGTTCCGGGTAGAAGCGGAAAAAAATTGACTTAAACCGAAATCAATAATTTACTCTCCTTAAACGTACTAATTTTCTTTTTATTTATTTATTTCGGTTTAAGGTTGAAAAAAAACCACAAACATTTTTCAGTAAACCAATAATTCTTCAGTCGTTTTTTTTTTTTTTTTTTCGCTTTTATTCACTTACTTTTTTCTTCCATAGCATTAACTTTCCACCTATTCTCTTTCAACATCCAACGTGAAAAAAACATTTATAATACATCTACAACGACAAAACAAGCGCTTGAATTTTGACAAAATCTTTATAGCGACTTTTAAAGCAAAATTTAAACACTGCAACTGAAGCTAAAAAATTTTAACTATCTAATAATGGGTTATGTTAAATAGTGGAGAAAATTGTTCTTCAAACAATAGCAGTACACGCAATCATATAACCACTAAAAATGGTTCACCAAATAGCAGAAGAAAAAGAGAGAGGAAAAAAAATAGCAATTTTGAAAGTTTTAAATTGCCGGTTTTAGGGTTTCGAAATGCTACTGCTCTACGGTAGACCAATGCAGCAGTGAAAAGAATCAACATCGTTTAAGCCAATCCGTCAATCATTTCTGCTCTTAAAAACAGTTGACAGAAACCTCAAACAAAATACAATTTTATTTCCCAAATTAGGAATCAGAGCGTATTTGGTACCAATATGCTGCACCTCAATCATCAGGGCCTTGAAATTGCACATATGACAGACATTTTGCATAAAACTAGTTCACAGGTGTACTGTAGGCAGTCCTAAACACAACATTTATACTTTTAAAAATAAAGCGGTCAATTTCCTTGAAATTTCGGGAACTTTCCATTCAATATCGCAAAAATAGTGTGATCCCAAATTGTGAACATCATCAGTAGATCTGACAAAAATGTATGATATGGTGTCACCTGTGAGGTTCCGCTAAGCTTATTTATTCGACAGCTACGATATACCCAGATTTGTCAGCTTTGCTTTGGAAACTTTGAAAAATTCTACAGTACTTTTATCGACTAAAAAATATACTGAACGAAGAATTATGATTGCTCTTAAAGAATTATGTTTGCACTTACGTCATACATTATCCTGGCTGTCTACAGATCGCCTTTTGATTACATCCTCATACACTTTGTTTAAAGTACAACCATTCACTGGAGCAATTTCTCTAAAAGCTTATGAACTTATGTAAGCAGATAATCTGCTTCCTTCCTTGCTTAAAACACTTTAAACGCCGTTTAATTTTCAATATTTGCATTTTTCAATTAATATTATCCCTACAAACCTGAAGAAAATCTGTCAAACGATAATACGAACTCAATCACTTTCTTCAGAAGCATAAGGCACAAAATTTAAGCAAATACGGCACATTAAAGGTACTTGCGGTTTATTACCAGCAACCTTCTTGAAAATTAATTGCACAGCAAACTTTCCACCTAAAAGTTCCCTATAATACCAGGCCGTTGAGAAGTTATACATTCCACTGTGTATGCCAAGCAGTGAAATAAAGGTACAACAATAAATTTTACGGCTAAAAACACTACAATAAACTTAGATAATATAAAAAAGCAAAAAAAAATTGAAAATTCAAAAGCTCAATAAAATTAAACAGAGAAATTTCCTTTTGCTCATTTTTACCATCAGAAATCAAAAGAGGAATACCTTCTCAAACTACCTAAAAAGTTTTCATTGCTTTCTTTTTTCAATTTAAGAAAAAAAAAAGAGGAAGAGATGTGACAACAGGATTTCAATCCCCTTCCACGCGTTCATCATTTGCTGTTTCAGTATACCAACAAGATTTTATTGAAACATATTAAAAACAACAGGGCTAAAACCTTTTCGGTATAAGTGCTGTACAATTTGATGCCTATCAAGAAATACATTTGCCAAAGAAGCTTCCCTCTTTCATTGCCTTAAGGTAAAAATGCCAATATTTCATTAAAAAAACACGGGGTACCAATAAACGTGTCATATATTTCACTAAGCAAACTAACCTGAGTCACTGTTCAGGTCCACTTACAACATCCACTAGTTCAAACGGAAACCTTCAAACAGGAAAACCTCGTACTCGTCATTCGTAATTTTCGTTTCCATTGACAAACCCTCCGAGTTGTTCAATTAAGTTTGCTGAGATATCAGTGGCTTAATTTTGTCTTATATCAACCCTTCTCTTCTTCCACATCTCATCAGTCCATTAATCGATGCTTATTTTAAACTATAACTCGAAAAATTCAGAATCCATTAATGTCAATCTCCTAATGTTTCCACAAAAACGATTTTAACAGAACAATTGTCAACCAAAAAGTCAAGTACCAAAAGAAATCGTGCCTGTACAACAACTACAGCAAATCTTTCTTTTTGGCCCTACCGATGTTTAACAAGGAGTAAAAAAAATAATTACTTCATAAAAAACACCGGATGATTTTCCCTAAATATAAACTGCACACAAAAAAAAAGGAAATACCAACCGTGTTTCGCATCAGTATATCATGAAAAAAAAAATTTCTTACCGTTATTACTTCTCAACAACAAATATGACAATTATTTTAAAGCTTCAACAACTTATGACGGAGCTGAATATCCTCAAAAGGTAACAGGTTCTGTGCGCATATGACCATAAAAATGTTGATACCGGATTTTGTTCCACATCAAAAGTTCAAACAAATCAGAAATCCAAAGCCTTCTAGCTAAACATTCATTGGTGAGCAGCTAACAATCAAAAAACCAAAATTAAACTGTCAAATAGGAGGAAACAGGAAACTCGTACTGACTAATACAGAAGCTGATATCGTCAAATAAAATCCTTTTTTTTTCGAAGTCAACTGAGACGATGAAAAACCAAAATTATGTCCCAAAGTTCTTGTAAAAATTTGTTATATTGAAAAAAAAACATTACAGCATCCAATTCTCAAAAAAATGATCAAAAGCTAGAAGTCTTCAACGAATTCAAGAAACAGCAGTCACAGATACTGCTACTTCTCACAATTACTAATAAACATAGCAACAATAATTTAGTACAAAAGACAACAAGAACTGATAAAACATGACAAAATACAAACATGAATTTTTGTCAAACAAGTGAAAAATCGGTTTTTTTTTCTTCAAATCAACCAAGTAAAGAATCCATCTATTACCACCAAATAAAATAACCCAAATTTCATATAATTTAGCTCATAAACTCAATACATATCTCTTTGAAAAAAAAATCACAAAATGCTGTCTTTACACGTCCTTATTAAAATAGAAATCAATATCCCTATAGAAGTTAGCAGTACAATAAGAACCAAGGAATATTACCAAAGATAACTGCTAAAAGAACTATAATTTGCAGAACTATAAAAGAACTGCCTCCACTTTCAACTCCAAAGCATTCAGAGTTTTGATAAAGCCTTAAATCCACTTTGAAGAAAGTCCTACGAATATCCCCCCATTAAAAAAAAAAACAAAGTAAAGCCCACTTCTTTAAAACTCCTCAGCATCATATAAAAGTAAGATGTAAGAAGTAAACAGTAAAACACTTTTTAACCGAGTAAACTAGGAATACTTATTCCTGCTTTCCTGGAAGCATTACGGGCCGTTTGTCCTAAAGCCCAACGAAAAACCTTGTTTTGTAACACAAAGGGTAAAGAGAGTAAAAACTCATCAATACTAAACCAGAAAAAGATTCTTCAAAAAGATTAAAATGCTAAACAGAGCAAAATTCTAGGAGCAACAGACGAAATTAAGTAAACAGTGCTATTATCTAAGCCGATATGGAAGATAGCAGTTTAACTGCACGTTCCAGAACCCGCAAAATTGTTTCTGATTGAATTTGTTCACCATTAATCCGATGCTCACGTTCAACTACAGTTATAACAGGCCGCAGTATCATTCTACCATTACTTTTCGCCTATAACAACGCCATATAAATTTTGGATCGCCAAACGGGAATAAATACATAAAAACTTCAGGCTTTCAGCATTGTGAAACAAACCAAATTTATATCTGCTTTTTTCTTTTTGCTCAAATTCAATTTCGCTTCTACTAAATCGCAAGCACTTTCCAAAACAAAAACACATGACTCCACATCGCTCTCCCAACCCTAAACAAACCACGATTATAAAGAAAAATGCACTTAAAAGTAAAAGAAAGAAATCGATATCAAACAGTGAAAAAGTTAATGCAACCTGGCTAAAAGTCTTGGCTTCATACTGTGACTAAAAACTAGTAATTAATTACGCAGATAAGCTCTGCATATGCAATTTTGTTCTCAAAAACTCCAAAATGATGAAAGAGAAAAAGCAGCATTCAAACCTGCTTATTAAACTCGCTTCGAAAAGCGCGATCCAAGCAATGCACGTAACTTTCATATTCATCCAAATTTTCTACTTCCAACGGTTTTTTTAGAGTAGCATAAGAATGCCAAACCTAAAAGTTAAATCCTGTCCTCTAAATTGTCGAAGCTTAAAATGAGCCCGAATTAATACACGTACTTTTCCAGAGCAGGTAGTAGTAGCTGTGATTCTTCCTAAAAGTTTACACATTTCTGATTTCACTCTTTTGGCTTCCTCATCTTTCAAGTCCTGAAATGCAACACCAAACGAATTACAAGAGATGATGCTCTAAAACGCAAACTTCCGAATAACTGTTCGTGTGCTGTCATTTCCATTTTTGTAATCCAGTAAAGTCTAATGCCAATCTGTGCACAAGAAGTGGCGAAGTGAAAAACAGAACCTGGCTCATTTCCATAGTCTGTTTACACAGAACTTCAATAACTTCGTCATCTTTCTGACTCTTTCTTAAATCAAGCAACCTATGGAACGCCTGTATTGCTTCCAGAAAATCGCCAGTATCTACGCAAACTAGCAGGTAATTCTCCCAAATATTTGCATGATCATAGTTGAACTTGAGAGCCTCCTTAAGTCAATCAAACAAAAATAGTTTTTAATGATATCTTTGCAGTCTTACCCGAAAAGTTGATTAAATGAAAGATAAAAGAAAAAGTTAAAACTTTACTCGCAAAATCTTTCTAGCCCTCTGTTTCTGGTTGAGCCGAATGTATGCAGCAGCAAGATTATTCCAAGCTTCAAAGTGATCCGGTTCTAAGTGGACGCAATGGTGATAAGCACTTGCTGCTTCTTGATAGAGTTCTAATTTCCAAGCACAGTGTCCCAAATTGAACCAAACTCCTAACTGTAACATGGTCGGTGACAAAACTCGAAGCACTTCAATATTACTTTAACTAATTTGCTTAAAATACCTGAATTTGTTGGAGTTCCAAACTTTTTTTGAAGTTTTTAAGTGCTTCCTCAAAACGATTCCGAATTAGCATCAAATTACCTAGTGATTTATACGCCCTCGCACACCTTCCCTCCGATACCTAGATAAAAAAAATCATTTATGTTATTAAAACTCTCAATGTAATGTCAATTTTTTTTACGTCATAAAGGTGATCAACTTTCAGGAAGAAGTAATTTATTAAATACTAAAAAATATACTTTAATAGCCGTCTCATAATAATCACTCTTCAGAGTTATATCTCCAAGTAAACAATAGTTGATTGGATTTGAAGAATCTTTTTCGATCAGTTGACGAACTATACGTTCTGCCTTCTCTAGCTGCCCCACAGATTTGTAACAACCAACTACGCTATCCCAATCCTCTAAACGCTCATAAACCTTTAGCGCTTCCTAAATCAGAAAATAATTTACAAAAAATCTTCCACTTCAATGTAGATTATAATGAACAGGATAATTTTCTAATATTTTGAAATTTTTTTCACTGTTTTAAGAAGAAAATAAGGGAAATTCTCACAGCTGAGCATCCGAGTGAAAGTAAAATTTTTCCGTGCAATTTATGAATTCGCCAGAAAGGCTGTAATCCACTCCCAAGAACTAAATAAATCCGGCGAAGTTTTTCTTCTTCTGACGCCTTAAATATAAATATATATATATACTAATCAAAAATTTTGTTAAACAGCACGATTATCTTGAAATAAACGAAAAAATGATCAAGCAGGCAAAGAAACAGTAACCAAACAGTACGTTATCGTCAACACCATCAACAATTTTAGAGATAACTTCAATCTGTGAACATGCTCTTTCAACACGCCTCATTCTGTGCTTTTCTAGCTCGCATCTTAGTGTTAAAGCACAAACATATACTGCCCAAGTTGGTTTTTGAGTAATTACCTATAAGAAAAACAAAACTGCTTTAAAACAAGTCGCGCAAAAGCAAAAACACTTTCAAGAAATTTTAGGAATACATTAGCCACCTCATCAACAAACGTCAAACACTTTTCTATCACCAGATCGTCTCTGTGCTGAGTTCTCAAGTTGATCTGGCAAGTCGCTAAAATACAGGCTGTTTGTAGACTATTTAACTTTCTTCTTTCCACATTTTCGGAGAATCTAACTGTTTCCAGTAAAGTATCATCGTTCGCAGAAACATTTAAGGGTAATGAGCATACTGGGCTATCAAAATCTTCAATTTGTTCCTCATCAATTGGTGTGGCCTAAAATATTTACAGTGCCAAAACGAGTAAAACATAAAGTAGCAAATAATTTTAAAAGGTTTTTAATACCTTTAAAATTAACTGAGGTATATCCCTGCTTTGAAACTTCGTTCGTTTCCCGAAGGCTCCGGCCAACTCCAACGTTATATTAGCCTTTTCCAATGCCTTTTCTAAGCAACTATTCGCACGGTCATACTCATAGTAAAGTAAGTGACTGTATATTCTTTCTAAAAAGTATTCTGCTGTAGAGCTATCACTTGATGATGGTGTGTTGTCGTTCATTTGCTGAAAATCCATATAAATGAATTCAGTACTATATAACAAACCTTTAGAAATTTATAGAAGAAAAAATTTTTTGAAAAGACCCTCACCAAATCGGCAAATAAATTTTTCAGGTAAAGAACTGGTTCTAGCAGTACGCTTTGCCATAGAAAAACGCATCGATTGCTCCAAAAAATTTTTTCAAAAGAATCATCTATTTTTCTGCTATTATCAATCAAAATCACCTTTGCAATCCATAAGAAGTATTTGCAACTGAAATTTTATTAGATATACTTCTAAAATTGAGATTAAAATGCGTTAAAATTCTTAAACAATACCATCATAAAAACCTTAAAAATTAAATCATAAAAAAGGTTATCTACGTGAAGAGCAGTACTCCATAAAATCCGCAATAAAGCTTGCCGTGCGAATTTAAAAGGTTTATATAAGCCCAGTGACAAGTCGTATTCAGCAGTCTGTTCCAGTTCTGCAGTAACTTTATCGGAAAACTTATACCGATTGCCCGTATCTAAACAAAAACAACTACGAAACAAACTTATTTGGAAGTAGTTTACTAGAAACTTCTGTCTTAATTTTTTATGCACATCTTTCCTCCAAATGTTCTGCTGACTTTTAAAATGACTTCAAGAATAGATAAAAGACCACTAACCGAAATAACCTGTGTAATTAGCAGCAATAAAAGTATCCAAAAGTTCTTTTGCTACAGCCAGCAGTTGTTCAGTATTCCAAGTACCCAAAAGCGACTTAAGAGCGTTGACGTCAGAAACCGTCACAGCAATTTCTTTCAACATTCCAACCTCCTACATGAAAGAAGAGAATGCGAACTGAAAACAACTAGCGCACCTACCTAAAAGCGACTTAAAATCCATTTTATAAAATAAAATTTTTTTTAAGACTTGGTAAAAGTCAGGTTGGAAAGCCCGCTCAAGTACCATGTAGAACGCCATTACCAACACCATAAAGATTTTATTACTCCATAGACAATAAAGAAAAAATCAAATTTACTTGTAAATCTATCCAAAAGGAAAGCGACTATAAAATATAAAATAGGGAAAAAACGCCTACCCTAAAAAATAGCAAATATAGTCCGCGAAAACTAAAGTGAAAGAGAAGAAGTTTTTCTTTTCTTAAATTTGCACATTTCTTTGGAAAGTTAGGATCTAGACTTTATAACTCGAGTTCAATAAAGCAAAGTCAAAGAACAATGACTTGAAATGCAGAAGCAAGAAGATGGAAAATCAAAAATAAGAAATCAACATAAACTACTTAGACAAATAAAAAATGAAATTTAGGCTCACGTACATCGGTTTTATGCACTAAAAGCTGAAGAGCACAAAACTGAAAATCTACAACAAGCTCAGAAATACTTCTGACAATTAAAATACACTATACCTCATCTATTGTATAAGAAACCCGTAAACAAAAATTAACGAAATAACAACACAAACAATTAAAAAGTTAGATAAATGGTGGAAATTTGGGATCCATTTCTTTTTCAGCTTCACCAAGTAAAATCTTTTTCATGTCCAAATATCGGTATTTTTTGTGCATTGTTCCGGCTCGATTCTTTTGTAGCAATATTCGTTCTTGTAAAATTTTTAAGGCTTTCTGACAAATAACGACTGTTTCGTACTTCACCAGACTAAAACAGTTCAATCCGTACACTGGCATAATAGTGAACGACGAAATTTCATTGCACGCCTCGACCAACTTCGTGCTCACCTGAAGTTCAAGGGGCAATTTAAAAATAGATATAAAAATAACTGACATAGTTCTAATTAAAGGCTTGAAAGAAGTAAAAAAAAATATATTTTAAAGAATTTCTCACATCTGCTGAATCACTGACAAATAAGACTGAATAGCCCCAATTTCGCAAGTCTGCCAGGTCGTGAAGATACTGAGGTTCGTTAGTGGGTAAACTCGCAAAATCATCGACAATAACAAGGTCATTCTGTACATGCTTCAGAGTTAAAGCTACACAGAGCCCCTCTAAACGTATAGAATCCGGCAGCATGTAAAACCAAGTACGTGGACCACGTGCACCATGAGCAAACCTTCAGTTTAACGAGCAGTTCAATATTACGTCTATGAAAATACAAAAAAAAAATCTCTGAGTGGTCAAGCAACGAAAAACCCACCCGCCACGAGAAAAGTGAGGCGCTCTTATGGAACCCGCATGATGACGCCCCATTTTCTTCTGGGGCCATGGTTTCCTGCCTCCACCAGGCATTTCTGCCTTCGATAGCATTTTCGTTAGGTCAAGATTCCGATACATCAGCTGCCACGTAATATTTCTATGAAGAAGATCTAACCGCGGTAGAGTGCGAAAAACCGTCGGGTGCAGCTTAATGATATCGACTTTGTTTTCCTAAATGCTTTTGTAGCATACTTACCAGTCATTTCTGTAAAAGACATTATAGCGTCCAGTAATTTATAAGCTTGACAAAATCAAAATCCACCTCAGCAGTTGCTAGACTGGAAACCCAAGCCTGCGGTATGACGAGGAAGGGGTCATACTTATTAATGAAAGGGAGAGACTCGTCTTCTCCAGACTCCCCAGCGTCTTCCGAAGCTACAGATGAACGGTTCACCGACGAAAACTTTCGCCACGTACGCAGTGACAATACACCGCGACCAAAGGACGCAAATGGCCTAAGGTGCTGAGCCAGCTGCATGCCCAACCGATTCCACCAAGCCCGCTCCACTACTTCCTCTGAGTGACCAAACTGCCACCTAACACTGAATTTGAGCAATAAAACGCCTTCTCTTTATAAATTAATAACGGATCTACTTAAACGAACACTGAAACGCTGAATGAACAGTCGCTGACCCAAAATCAGTTTCAAGTAAAGTCAATTCTCAACAGCCTTGTTTGAAACCATAAAGTTGGTATGTTAGGAAAACTACGAGTGAACAAGTGGAATAAATACCTTCACTGTCAACCAAGAATATATCATTAATAATAGTAAACAAGGAATTTTAACCACCCGATAACACACATGAATTGAGCACAACAATAGCCTAAATAAATATAACACTCCAAATAACGCAAACCCAGTGGATCTCTGTACATAGTTCACTATATAAGACTTATACACCATATCTGTTTTCTAAGAAGTGACACTAATTATAATTGAGAAGATAAAGTCAGAAAGATAGCACTAATGATATCCACATTGTACTGGTACAGATATCGCAACAACTCCAAACAAGCTAATAGCAAAAGACTTCAAAAGATGTAAAAATTAAAGAATCGGAACGTATTTCCAAAAGAAAGCACTTCATGAGATGGACTGAACACGCATACGTACAAAACACAAGCACAATTGGTCATTTCTTAAATCCTTTCAATATTGGATAAATCTGATTAAACGCATCATCTATATCTTTCTTGTACTTTGCGCCAGTAATGACAACCTAAAACCTGGTAATATTTGAAAAGAAATAATAGCGAAAAACAGATCTGGAAGAAAAAAATAGTCAAATACCTCCGAATTCTTAAACCATATGAGCGAACAGAGGCAAGCAAAACACAAAAAAACTAACTTTTCCGCTTACGAATATTAGGAGGACCACACGCGGCTTTACCATTCGATAAATAAGTCCAGGAAACAACTCTGGTTCATAAGTTGAGAACTGAGTGTGCGTAAGACACAAGCCCTCTAACTGGATTGGAAAACGAACATCGCAAGAACCAACCATGTTCTGAACCTAAAAGGCACGGGCTTGAAAAAACCACACTTGAACAAGCCAAACCTTCAAGGAGGAAGAAGTCATGGAAAAGGTCGCAAGCAAAATAAAAAGTAACACGCACTTTGAATTCCGTAAACTTGGCGTTGAAACCAAGCTTTTGAACTATCCTCGCATACTTCCGCGCTGCCATTCTACAACAGTTCAGATCATTATTAATTACTGAAAACAAAATACAGACTTCCTGTTTAGCCTGAATGAGAGAAAGAAAATCTATCTACACACCGGCTTGCTTCCTCAGATTTTGCTCCTGTACAAACCATCTTTCCTGAAGAAAAAATTAATGCCGTTGTTCTCGGTTCTCGAATCCTCATGATAACTGCAGCAAACCGTTTAGGATTATATTCAGCATTACGAGCATGAAGTGCAATCTTTTTCAAATCTAAGGGCACTCCTGAAATAAAAATATCTCAAACATCTCTGGAAAATATTCGTAGACTGTTTCTGATTGAAATTAGAGCACATTTGAAACATGGAACTACGTTTGCAGAATAACTGTCATGTAAATTGGGCAAATAAGCGTAAATAATTGAGCACGAACCAAGATTAACAGTCGAAACAATATTTTGCAGAGCCGGTGACGGTACATCGACAAGCTGTGACCCTGGAGTCTGTGGAGCGTTCGTAGCTATCATTGGTATATTGGATGCCGGTTGGAAGTGCTCACCAGCGAGAGGAGTCATTGGAACAGCAAGATTTCCAGGCCCAACAGAAGCTGGATTCATATCCTGTAAAACAAGTGCTTATTAATAAAATCTAAAAGCTTATACATCGAATAAAAATTTTTTGGATCATTGTTAACTAATTCCTTGCTCTCTCTTGTCGTGCAAAGATCATCTTTTACTGAATTTGACCAAGGCTTTCTAGTAATTCATTTTTTATAATAAATATATATAAATATTTTCTTCCTTAACAAGTTACGCAACATATTTCCTAAAAAAGTTTTCGGGAAAGGTCCACTTCTAAAGTAAAAACAAATTCCCATAAAAGTGTATATATCCAATCCGTCGTTACAACTCCTACAGCGTAGAATTTACGTACGACACACTGCTGTTCGAGTCCCCTAAGCTACTTCAATGAATTTCGAAGGCGAGACTGTCAGATAGTCAGATACAGACGAAATTTGAAAATATAAATGACTGATAAATATATAGCAATGATGTTACAGCTAACTAGGAAACCTGATTAGCTAACAATCCAGAAGTAATGAGTTAGATGAGGGAATCCTCCAAACAGCAAAGGCTTCATATGCTGCACTACTAGAACTGCAATCAGCATTAATCACCAAAAATTCCTCTTTGTCAAACAAGTACTTCTGAACAAATATACTTTGTTTTATTTCCACTTCTCACCATTGAAGACAGCGGAACACATAGAAACATTGAATTCGGCTGCAACAAACATGACCTTCATCTAACAACCCATAAAAACCTTTAGAACCGAAGCAGCTTCAAACGTGGGTGACCTCGGGAAAAACATTTAAAACGAAAAGCCAAATTTCCCTTCAAAATTCAGCTTTTAAACGGCAAACACATCAAGAAAATAAAAAAGAGAACTAAGTATCCAAAAAATAAAACCACTCTTCCATACGATTTTTCCAAAAGACTTTTGATTTCATACTTATTCCTGTCCACCAATGAGGTACTACTAAAGGACTATTTCATGTCTATTGGACAATGTTCCGTTTTTAGAAAGCCATCTCTTTCCGTTACAAGTTCCTTAGTACTTCCTTCCTTACTGTTAGTTATCTTAGGCATTCTGCTAACATCTTGCTCTCTAAATCCATTCACCGCTTCAGTACGTTACAAAACAATTGTACTACAAAATAACTACTAGGAAGTGCGGCATGAAAGAAGATAACCTCAAAAAATAATGGTTTTTAATTACCAATATAAAATATAAATGTATACAGCACAACTTGAAAAACTCTAAAAATAAAGAGACCATCCTAACGCGTGAACATTAAAAACACTAATGCACCCATGTTACAAATCAAGGACCACTTAGCCAGACAAACGGAAATACAAGTGTACTAAAATAAATACTGAAAAACAGAACTTTAGTGAAAAATACAAAAAAAAAAACAATCCCCGACACAGAGCTTACAATAAAAAGTGCCAAAATTTCATGAGCTATACCCCAAGCACCCTCCTATTCCCAGAAATGTTTGCTAAAAAAGGCACCACAATGTCTTCAAAAAGCAACTAAATAATGACCTTAAATTTGCGTACAACCAAACCTAATTCAGCTCTGCTAATGACACCAAAAACTTTCACGGAAAATATCAAGGCTTTTAAAAGTTGATAGAATGTGATATAAAAATTACGAAAATCTCAAACTTCACTCCACTTCAATTCCAATCAACAAGAAAGACATATCTTGTAGTTTTTGGTCGTCTACTTTTGACCATTTACTGATAAATAATTCTTTTGCCCCGTTCCAACGTCTCTAGCGCTCACAAAATGTCTTAATTCAATTTTGCAAGGACAACAGATATTTGAGATGCAAAAAGATCCTTATCTAACAGTCTTAAAACTACTCGTTAAAACACTGTGGACCCTCAAAGAAATTCCCTTTACAAACAGTTCGAAATGTATGGCTTTTAAAAACAACTTGTTCCAATCTCCTACTACCATTTTTTATCAAAAAATTGCGCGTTTAATCTCTTGACGACTAGCCCGAACAAAAAAAAAAAGAAAATTACTGAAAATGTAGTTTCTGGCCTCCATGAAACCCTTTTCAAATACAATCATAAGATAAAAATTTTCACCTGGAAAACAGAACCAGGATTACCCCCAACATTGATTACACTCGACGGTCCTCCTCTGTCATGGCTGTATCCAAGAATGGAGCTGGGGCCTCCTTGACTATTTAATACAGATCCTTCAAATCAAAAAATCAAACTTATTTATAATAACAATACAGAAAATTAGAAAATAATTGTTCCGTGAAAACTTACGCTGTATGAGTTTCGCTCTGACTTAAAGCCATACAAACAGAACAAATCAATTCTCAAACTCATAATAAAAATTGTCCAGAAAAACC